CTTTTTTGATGACGACATAAGAATCATGATCGAAGAACTGCATGCTTGGTTAAAATCACAAAAAGACTATAAGTCATCAACCGGAGAAGCGTGCAAATACCTTTACACAAAAAATCCCGAGTTCAAAAAGATTCTTCAAAGCATTGGTGGAATTCGTCAATTGCTAATTCATACACCGTCGATACAGTTTGAAATGCCTGACGCAACCGGTGGAAAAAACTCTCTGAAACTGTTGGATGCCAGTCAACCAGTGAAATACCATTTAGACCGTCTAGGAGGACGCTATGGTATAGGAAGAATCGTCAGCTACTACGAAGACGAAGACGTGTACGATATACAACTTTGGGATAGAAAATCGAAGAAGACAAAGTGGAACAAAGCCCTGAGACAAGTTAAAGTAGAAGATGAACCTGCTACTGAACTTGTACAGTCAAATAGAGTGTTATGTTCTATTGAGTTAGACGATAAGTATAAGATTGGACAGAACGCTCAAAAGCAACTTGAAGATTTACAATTACTTTGTGTTTGTTATAAGAACAAGTGTCTTCCTTGTTAGCTAAATACGTTTATATTACCAAACATATGTTCTCTTTTTTAAAAAAGGAATGGAATGTAGTAGGATTTTAGGGAGGTACAACCTGCGAACAGGTAGAGAGCACATGGACTCTCAATGGCCGCTAGTTTATAGGATAATGTCGTAGAAGAAAAACCATATTTGATTCGTGTTTATTGTTCATGTAATGTTTATATTGTTGTTTGATATTAAAGTATATGTTTATATACACTGACTACTACAAGAGGTTATGCATGTGGGGGGGGGGTCATGGGAAGAAAACGTGGAGTAGAAAGGGGGCCACTGAAAATTTTCCTGCATCTGCTGGGGGGGTCATGACGAAATTATCAATGAAAGCATGCAAAACCACCAGCCCCCCCCCCCCCTGATAAAAAATGAACGGTCCCTAAGTTGCAGAGCTTTCGCCCTAATGACGAGTAAAATTGTCTGGCGTTAGACAAGTAAAAAATAAGTAGGCTCCACTGGGGCGCATTGCATCTCAATGTGTAAACTAGAAACATTATCAGATTTTTGGTTTACCCATTAAGCTGTGCTTCCCCATTGATGAGTAAAGCCGTCTGGTGTTAGACAAGTAAAAAAAGTAGGGCGCACTGGGGTGCATTGCTGTTCAATGGGTTAATGTCTGGATAACATACATGTGTGAACATATTCAGGCCTTGCATTTGGTTGCGTAACAGAGAACAACCACAGACATAGTCTATTGTTAAACTGGCAAGCATTACTGAACTGTGCATTTCGGTATTTTTGGCACTCCTAAAATTTTAAATCCCAGGTAAAGGCCTGTTTCCACTCTGGAAACTTTTTCACAGGAAGAAAATTTTGTAAAATGTGATTGGCCGAAACAAACTTCCCATCGGAAAAGAATTTTGAAGTTCAACTTTTAAACTTTGAGTGTAATGGGCCTTTAGACCCTACACAGCAGGGCATGAAATAACGGCCATCAATGATCGGCAGGAAATTGCTTCAGAGAAACAAGGTTGCCGATCATCTTGATCGGCAAGAACCATTGTCTAAAAAACATGGTTAATGTCATTAACGAACACCATGCAATACTATGGCATTATCACAGAACATATAAACAGAACGTATCCTATACTGATCAGCCAGATTTTCATTTGATCAGCAGAAAATCATGACTGCTGATCACCATGATCGGGAACGTTGGAAACGTTATTTCTCGAGCCCTGCTACACAGGGAATAAAGTCTGGATAATAGCTGATATTATTCAGCTGAATTTTGTCCCCAAGATAAGATGATGTGATGCAGCGTATTAAAGCATGACACTTGCGATTGTATTGCAACTCTTTGGATGATGAGATATATCACCGACATTATGAATTGCAATTTAGCTGTTTGCAGTAGCGAAAATGGTGACTGATGGTTTCACACAACAGATATGACTTCAGATTACAGTATATGCAGGGCTCAAGATTTGAATTTTTTACTAGTATCCAAGTGGATACAAGGGTCTTAAAATCTAGTATCCCTATTTGAAATTTAGTATCCCAGATTTGGGTAGTAGGTATTTCGATAAGCGGTATCCAAACAAGGTAAATAACTGCCAGACAGGTCTGTAAACAAATACTACAAAACATCAAGTATCATTATTTTGACGAACATTTTGCCACGACGTACAAACTTTGCCAATATTTCAATTTTTGTAGTATCCCATCAGGATACTAAACCTATAATGATATCTAGTATCCAAAATTAAAATCTGGTATCCCGTGGATATCGGGATACCGCTAATCTTGATCCCTGGTATATGTCCTTTCAACCAGGGGCGTAGGAAGCATCAAAAGGTTGGGGGGGGGGCACTTTGGGGGCACCAAAAAATTTTTCCCAGATATGTTGGCGATGGGGGGTTGCAATCATATCATATTCCATGCTTTATTAAACAGGGTGTTAGCTAGCCCATATACTGTCCGTTTGACGGACTCTTCCCAATTGAAGTAGCTAAGGGGCTTTCCCAACTGGGTCTACTGGAAGATTTTCATTTTTTCTGATGACAAAGTGCATTGCGTTTGATTTTATATTATATTATTATATCAAAGAATGTTTTATTTACTTTTTCCCATTAACTATTTTCTCAAAATGTATCGCGTTTCATTCATATTGGGTGTGTATTCACTGAAATGAAATGTACAAAACAAAGTGCAATCGGTGTCCACCCGTGTTCATTCACCGGAAATGAAATATACAAAACGAAGTGCCATCGGGTCGTGATGGAGGTAAATAAAGAACTGAAAGAGTGTTACTGGTGTTACGATCAAACATTCTACTGTATATTGATAGCTATATGGTATTTCGTTGCCAAACAGATCTTGTTTTAACTAAAAACTTGAGAGTTAGTTCAATTCCTCTCACCATGGTTACCACAAAATGATATAAAGTAGCGTGCTATTTCAAGGACTTTGATCGGTCAAAAAAACTTTCCCAATATACGTTTAACGGACAAAACTTTTTTTCTGGCTAACACCCTACAGTAGCTTAATATAATACATCTCCCCAAATTTCGAATGCAAACGTACAATCAACGCTTTTGAGCTTTTTTAAAAACATCGACCAAAACTAAAAGATAAAATTATTTGTTTCCTGGACATTTATTTATTGAGGGGCACTTTTGTCAAGAATTGCAGGTTATTTTCTTAACAACATTTTTCACTAAGACAAAGGGTCATTTTGCCACCGGATAGAGGGCACTTTTTGTGTCTTCCGGAAACGTGGGGGGCCTAGGCCCCCTTGCTCCCCACCCCCCGGTTCCTATGCCCCTGCTTTCAACAAATTCAATGTTGCCATTATTCGTGACCAACGCTAATTCTTCGAAAGTGTCACATTTCTTGTCATCAAGGGCGTCAATTCTATCCCAAAAAGTGGGGGGGACGGACTCCAAACTAGGAAGGTCTGGAGGTATGCTACCCGAAATTTTTTTTCTAAATTTTGGTACACTGAAACGGCATTCCCAGCGTTTTGGAGGCACTTATAAATAAAAACCAACATGTCCTATAGCCTGTGAACCTATGCTGTGAACAGACGTTACTCTCGACGAAGCCTAACATGTCCTCGCCCTTATTTTAATGCTAATAATCTATTAAATTAACCATTTGCCTTATTTTGATGATAATCATCTATGTAAGGGAAACTCAGTTAAAACGCAATTATTGTTAAGTATTTACAATTTTACATAACATATGCGATGTCAGTATTTGCTCCCAGCGACTACAGAAAGATCATACGTTGTACTTCTTCTTATTAAATGTCTTCCTTTCAGTCACAATTTTTGATGAATAGCATACCATGCATTAGGTTTTTAGATAAGCAAGAAACAAAATTTCATTAAACATGTCAAAAAGTGGGGGGGGGATAATTAGATATTCGTCCCCCCCACTC